AAGACTTAGGTAAAATAAATTAAAAAAAAGTAAAAATAAAAAAAGCCTTGGTGAGCATAAGACATATATTAATTATATTATATTATATTATATTATATTATATTATATTATATTATATTATATTATAAGCTATGTTAAAGTTGAAAATCAAGCATTTTGCTTTATCAAAGGTGCAATTTCAAATGCTTTAGGGATTCTAAGGCTTTTACCACTTTTTTACCATTCAGAAAATGCTTTCTCTGTGAAGATTGTGTATAACTTATGCATTGCTGGCATAAGAATTCTAAACACATTTATTTTTCTCTCTCTCTCTTGATTCTACTTAGATTGTCAAATATAACATTGTCTCACCTTGTGAACGGTTTCCGTCTGTCTGGTATCCTGTATCACAGACACATAACCCCTGCGGTGGACCCCACGTCCCATTTGCTTTACATTCCCTCATTGGGGTGCTGATCTCCACAGAACCGTTAACACAAACTCCTCTCCCCAACCCTCCTGCTGCTGTTTCCTCAAATTCCATTTGGTTCCAAACGAGTGTTGGGCATTTCAGGAAGAACACCTGGATCGAAGCAATAAAAGTGCACTTGCCGCTGTAGCTAAATCCCAGGTAAAAACCCTTCTGAGAGATCTTTCCCAATTTAAGGCCCTTGGCATGGCTCAGGTGATCATCCTGAGGAACAGCATCAGGAAATGGATGCTGGACTGTGATCATGAGAAGAGCTCTTTGTGGTCTTCTAGAGTACTGATTCTGCGTTTGGCTCGATTCTCGCACATAGATATGAAGAGGCTCCTGGTCCGCTTGGGCAAAACGTAGGTCCAGAAAAAGTTCATGGGCATCTTGTTTGGGGATCCAGTTGGTCCATAGTGTTTTGTGATCCTTATTCAATTCTGGGTTACAAGCTTGGTAGACAGAGTGTGTATAGTCCTTCCCAAGCTGCATTTGTGTTTCTTTCCACTTACATCGACCAAAAGAGAAGCAAATTTGATTCATTATTCAATTTTTAATTACTAAAAATCAACCAGTATTAAACAATACATCTGTTAATCTGTTTTATTTGTTTATTATCTGTATAAAAGAATAAATTATTATCTGTATAAATAATTTTTTTAAAGAGTAAGCTGCTTTATTCAGCAAGAAAATAACATTAACAACATTTATAATGTTGTAAAACATGATAATATTATAATGTTATACATAAATACTGTTCTTTTGAACTTTCTGTTCATCAAAGAATCCTGAAAAAATGGTTTCCACAATAATATTAAGCAGCACAACTGTTCAACATTGATAATAATAAGAAATATTTCTTGAGCACTAAATCAGCATATTAGAATGACTTCTGAAGAATGACACTGAAGACTGCTAAAAATTCAGCTTTGCCATCACAGTACTAAATTAGGCTACATTAAAATATCAATAAAAAATTAGGCTACATTTCAGTTTTTAAAACAATATCCCTTTTACCATATTTTTTTTTTAAAGAAACTTCATTCAAAAACGTTTGAACAATATAGACTATATTTATATAAAATAAAAAATTAATACGGTAATAAAAATGTAACATGGAATGTAAAACATGTAAAATGGATGAATATGGATGTTTGTTTGTTTTTTAAAGAAAATGTGTAGCCTGTTATAAAACAGCCTAATAAACTTTAGGTAACAGACTTTCTTCGTTAAAGCCATTGTTTGAGGAACACAAAAGCCAGACCTTTATGGAATTAGCCAAATAGGCTACAAAGAAACTGTGTTACTTACAGCTTTTGGTGGTGAGAATGTCCATTGTAGTCTGCGCTGTTTGCTTGAATCAAATATTTCTTCTAAAAAGAAACGCACTTTTATAGAGGTTGATTACATTTACATAATATCCCATAGCATAGCCTACTATAAGCACACACTGCTGTGAATCCTCAGAGTCTTACCTCTGATTGGTGTTAGCTGTGCGAAGACAATCCATGAAATGAATAATAAAAAATAAAGCATATTGAAAAAAGCTTCCTTTATTCCGACGAAGATAAAAGTTTTCACTATTACTTACGAATACAGTTTAAACTTCAGTAGTCCTTAGCGATAGTTTCGGTTCTTTTTAAAGATTTGCAAAGCGTTCGTAATCACTCGACGTGAAGAACCCTTATAATATTACTAATAATGTTTTATATTTCTTTCTTTGATTGTAGTCCAGCGCCCAGTGGAATATCCAACTCGAGGCCTTTTTCGTGAACAAATCCCTGCTTTGTATGAACTTTAAAATGTTTATTTCAGATATTCAGTCAGTGACTGCCAGAAAGAAAAAGAAAGAAAGAAAAAACACACACACTTTAATGATCCAGTTTGTGTTCCATTACACTGTGAGGTAGCTGATTAAGCAGTGCTTCTTTTGTACAAATGTTGTGCAAGATTGTGGTATATATGGAATTTTAGAGAAATGGTTATGTGCTGATGTTTCCATTTAATAGGGAAGTGAGCCATACAACCATCAACAAACAATCTAATATCTAACAATTAGCCTTTATTATTTGATAAAAATGTTTAACAGCAATTTACAAAAAATAGCCTGTTTCTATATAAACACTTCTTTTAATAAAATAAACAAAACAGCCTTCAACACACTCCCTACAACTTCCTTGTTGTTGGTAGAGAGATGAGTATGCTTTAATGTGTGTGTGTGTGTGTGTGTGTGTGTGTGTGTGTGTGCATCTGTATTTATGCTTGCTTAACACAAGATGCCATGGTGAATCATTAGAGTCCAGTGACGTTAGGACCCTTTGCACATACTGATGATCACCACATATTTCCTTTAAAGGGGTCATATGATGCGATTAAAAGTTTTCCTTTCTCTTTGAAGTGTTACAAGCTCTTGGTGCATAAAGAAGATCTGTAAAGTTGCAAAAGACTAAAGTCTCAAATCCAAAGAGATATTCTTTATAAAAGTTAAGAGTCAGCCACGCCTACCTAAAACGGC